CGAATTGTTCATTCATGCACGTTTATGGCATACTTTTATTGTTTGTGTTTCAGCCGATCAAAGGCCCCTTTTCAACTTCTTATGTTGTTGGTGTTGCACTCTAAGTGGCAAAAATAGATTAAATGACTCATTCATGTTTGTTCGATTTCTGTTCCTATGGCTTAGGTGTAGACCAACTGTTCATGGGTTGCGGAGGGAGCCTTGAGTCTTTCTCCTTCATCGGTTGCTCAAAGGGCGCCTTTCAGGGTGATTATCCGTTGTTGGCGTCTGCATCGCGATGTCCCAACCTCTGCCACATTGACGCCAGCTACGCGCATACTGTTCGCGACCAGACTGTGCGTGCCATTGCGGAAGGTTCAGTTGCTCTTAAGACCCTCCTTCTCAATGGCGCTCAGCACATCTCTAACTCGGCCATCGAGCATCTTGTGCGACACCAAAAACACACTCTAGTATGTACGACCTTCCACCTCTACTTGTAATTATTACTAATGTTCGGTTTGTGCCAAAATGTGAATTGTCAATTAACTTGGATTTTTTGGTATTTAACATCGCTGTTCTACTAGACCAATCAATATGAAGCAATGAACTAGTGTCGCAACCCCATCAGTCTTGGACCAAAGTTCTCTCAATATCTGTTTTTGGGAACTGATTTGTTGCGCTAGTCAAAGGCAGCACTTAGCTGTTCCTGATTGTCATTTATAAATTGTTGCATCTTGCTCAACGCCTTTCCTGTGTGCGGAAGGACGGATTTTTCTGCACTTATGTTCATTACAGTGCACTTAGGAAAGGCAGGCTAAAGGTGCATAATTTTTCCGATTCTGCGCAGTGATATTTTTTGTCAATTGGAAGTGTTGATTATAGTACGGTTTTATGCAAGATTATCGGTGAGGTGCTTCAGTTTTGTGTTAATGGGCTCCTTAATCGTGCATAAATGGTATTTGTTCTGAATAGGCACAGGTCAGATCACCTTTTACGTGATCGGCGCTTAAAATAGTATTTTTTAGACCCACCATTAATTCTTCATGGTGGATCGATGTCACTCTCATTAATTTCGAATTGTACGTGTTTAATCGTTACATTCCTTGCATCACTAAATCATTTTCTTCAAAGAAGGCCGTGTTAAAATTGGTGTACATTTATTATTGAATACTTTTGATTACAGCGTGCCATATTTACTCAATTTCGTGTTCTCTTTTGTTAACTAGATGATAGCCAATTTTCTTAAAGTTGTTCTTGTAGCAGTCATTCAGCTTGCGCATTCCTTTTTGGTACCACGGTGTATATTTCGTCACCTTGGTTGCCCACGCGTTTGCATAATTTATCTGTGCTGTACATATATCTTTGAGTCTAGACTGTCAACCAACCTACGTCCTAAGTGTAGGTACACTCACGATTAATCGATGTTTTTGCAAATGATCAAGTCCCTATTCTTATGACTAACTATGGCTAAAGATGAATTTTTTTCTGATCCATCCCATTGCAGTACAATAAACAGCTAAGTTATGTCCATCAGGTACTTATGTCTCTCCAATTTTAGCCTGCCATTTTCCAATTTGTCTTTAGGAGCGGCTCGAGTTGTTCGGCTGTTTCCACTTAAACTCAAAGATTTTTACAACCCTGGGCGAATGCCATGGTCTGCGCGCACTCGCGTTCGGCTTTTTGCATCATTTGTCTTCTAACGGACTACTCGAACTTGTATCGAAGGTTTGTTCGCCAGCATTCACTGTTCAAATGTTCATACACGATTAAAACATGCTTTTAATCAAACTGAAATAAGCATGCATCTAGTGTCACTGCGCGTTTATTCGTATGGGTCTTATTCACCGTTCTGTGTAAATTTTGTAGTTGCCTCTGCTGGCCTCGTTAGATCTACGAGGTACGCAGAAGTTGGTTACTGATACAATTCTCTCGCGGCTGGCAAAAGAGTGTCCACTGCTAGAGGAAGTGGTTCTTGCAAATATGTCCTCGCTGACACGCGAGGAGGGTGTCGTAACGATGCTGCACCAGCTGCCACGGTTGCGCGTGCTCGACCTTTGCGGCCTTGCAGTTGTCGGAGATAACAGTCTTCAAGCCCTTGCTACCAGTTGCCCCCTCCTCGAGGAACTTGATATCTCTTGCACCTCCGTCACAGAAGTCGGGTGCGTTGCTATACTTCCACCCTGTCATTTTAAGCCTTTTGCTTTGCCATCTGTTTCATTAGCAATTTGACCTCCAATGTCCTCCAATCCGGTTTCATTATCGACATTTATGAATTTACTAGTTTTCACTGCTATCTAGCTGAAATATTTCAGTCCAATTCAACGCATTTAACATTTACTCAATATCGAAAACCCATGACCTTGAAGGCGATCATAGCGCCTAGTTGCACTCTGCGTTGCTATTTTAAGACTCTGGACATTTATGTTGAAAGGTAAAAAGAAGTAGCCCCTAGTTGTACGAACACAACGCCTTTGCCCGAGAACTCGCCACCATATCAATTTCACCCTTCCAACTGCTAAACTCTGCTGCGAGCTTTATTCCTAACACAACCCCCTCGCGCATAATTTCGGTTTGTTTTGGTGCCCGATTGTAACCATTGCCAATGCTTTCCTTTGACAGACTTCTATGTTTGGCAAACGCCCCAGCGAACAGTCTCAGGTCTCTGAGGATCAGCTTTTGCCCTCGAATTACAGCCAATGCCATTGAAAAATTAGTCGGCTCATGCCCCAAGCAAGTTATCCTCATTTTATGCAATCCCTTAAAGTCGCTGAATCACGTTTAATTAAATCCTTGCTTTTCCCCTGCAACTACACGAAAGCACAACTAATACTTTCATGCGGCGTGGAGATTGATCTTGGCCTACAGACATGTTATGACAGCGATGTCCATCCGCTTGAGGACACACGTAGTACAGAGTGGTGGTCCAAACTTTTTGCCAGTTTTAACTCGTACCCCTTAATAATCTAGGTGTCCGCCTCACCAATTTTACCAAGACACCAGAATTTGAACAGTACTGCGAGGAAGCAATGAACACTGTGGCTGTTTTCCCAATTTACATTATCCTTTCAGGCTTACGCACTTGTCGCTTTACGGTTTTTCGTGGATCAAAAAGTGGAATTTCCTCTTTGATCTTCGCCCCAATCTGGTTATCCAGACCGAGACGCAATGCATCAAACCCACAAAAACATAGGGGATGGGAGAATAGTTTCAGCCTACATGGGCTCTTGCAGTCCCTTCTTATCCAAATACTCACTGAAGTGCGCTAGCCCGCATTTTGGGGAAGTGGCAAACCACCTTGAATCGCATTGTGGCTTTGCCAACACTTAGTCAGTTCTCTCACGTTCCATCGAATTCATTTATTTCGTAATATAGCCTTTCATTTACCAATTTTCCCGTCTTCTCCCTCCTTTCGTTCAAGAACTTCTATGCGTCTCCTCTTTGCATGCTACTACCCGCTCTTGAGTGTACAAACACCACTGAGCCAACATTGTTGGTGAATATCCCCTTTAATTTCGCCTCATTCGTTTCCTAGTTTTACAGCTTAATTTAAGCTTTTATATTATTTCGGCCACTAATACTAAAATGAACGACGAGTTAAACACCCTGTTATTTTCAAATATGGAGAAACGGTACGATAATTATAGAAGCACGTAGGGAAGTGAACAAGTCCCACCTTATAACTTCCAAAACCTAATGCTCCTACAGTCAAACCTGAACTGAAATAGATTAAGGTTACACCGTAGAAGTATAATAAGCTTAGAAATTCATAAAAGAAGGAAAAGTAGGACAGTTACTTGCTGAAGCTGACTTGTTCGTCAAATACGTCGCTGAGGGATTCATTGAACTGCTCCAAAATTGGTTTGTAGTAGGCAGGGAACTTCTTCATGCAATTAGCCAATTCTGCGTAGCATTGCCTAAACGTCAGTCTCGCATCTGAATCGGAGGAAGGATCATCAAGACACATGAATCGGTCCATGTTTGCCAGAAATTTTCGGAAGTAGAACCCACACGAACCTGTGACGTAACTCGCTACGCAGCTACAATGCCAATTAAAACGTCCGTCATGTGTCTTGAAACCAGGCTTCCCGACTTTCTTATCGATATCATAATATTCCTCTATGTTCAAAGGACATCTTGATTTGGGCCGTGGAAGTTGCAGCACCTTGTGCGGGTTAGCGCTACCCATAATCGCCTTCACGAATGTTACCCGCGAGGAAATAGAGCTGATTTAAAGGGATCTCGTCGCCATGATACTCGAGTGGCTGTTAAATTGCCTCTAAAACTATGCGTGATTTACATGAGATATTTAAAATTAGCCTATTTATGTATTTAAATGAGTTCAAGTGGTTTTAGAAGTAAACTATTTTTACATCAAAATTGGCAATTCGTATATCATTGGAAAAATTAAAAGCATTAAAACTGCAGG